CTTAGGAAGCTATGGCAGTAAGGTAAAGGTGACATGGTATCATGGTTTGGATTTCAGTGGTGGCCACAGAGGTGATGAGAAGTGGCATTCTGGGTATTCTTAAAAGGTGGGCTCCCTGGAACTTGCTGACAGGTGTGGGCACAAGAAAGAGAGGAATTTATGGCACCAAGTTTTCGGGCCTGAACAACCGCAAGAATGAAGTTGCTATTGCTTGAGACAGGGGAACCCAAGGGGGCAGGATGGAGGGGGATATAAGGAGCTTAGTTATGGGCATGTTAAGATTGAGGTGCTTAATTAGACTTTAGTGGAGATTTCAAGTGATTGTTGGATACAAGCCTGGCATTTAGGAGAGAGGTTTGGACTAGAGATGGAAATTTAGAAGTCATCAGTAAATGCATGGTCTAGAAGCCAAAACGCTGGATGAGGTCACCAAGGGAGTGGGTGTAGATAGCAATAAGAGAAGAGGTCCAAGCACTCGGGCACTCACATTGAGAGTTTAGGGGGCCAGGGAGCACTCCGAAGGAGACTGAGATGAGTGGGCAGACAGGAAAAGAGCCAGACATTTGGGATGTCTGAAAGTCCAAAGAAGCAAACACTCCAAAGAAGAGAAGTGGTCTCCATAACAAATACTACCGATCCATCAAGAGAGAGAGGTCTGAGAACTGACAGTTGAATCTGGCAATGTGGAGGTAATTGGTGATCTTTTAAAGGACCATGTTGGTAACACTGGGGGATCAAAACCTGATTAGAGTGGATTCATGAGAAACCGGGTTTTTAATCCAAATGCTCACACTGCACATTGTCAATAATGAGATGAACTGACATTATAAACCCCTGATGTAAAACATGAGGACACATTACCCAAATGTTTACCCAAAAGGTTTAACCTGAATATAATCATGAGGAAACAATCAGATAAATCCAAAGTGAGATGCCTTACAAAACCACTGGCCTCTGAAACTCCTCACTCCCAGTGCAGGGGGCCTGGGTTTTCATCCCTGGTCAGGGAACTAGATCCCACAAGCTGCAACTAAGAGTTCAAATGCCACAACTATAGATCTGGTGTGCCACAACTAACATATGGTGCAGCCAAATAAACATTAAAAAAAAACCTTGGCCTTAGGCTCTTCAAAAATATCAATTTCAGGACTTCCCTGGTGGCACAGTGAATAAGAATCCACATGCCAATGCAGGAGACATGGGTTCGACCCCTGGTCTGGGAAGATCCCACATGCCACGCATGGAGCAACCAAGCCCATGCACCACAACTACTGCAGCCCCTGCAATTACAGCCTGTGCTCCACAAGAGAAGCCACCGTAATGAGAAGCTGCTGCGCCACAACCACAGAGGAGGCCCTGATCGCCACAACTAGAGAAAGCCCGTGCAGAGCAACAAAGGCCCAACTCAACCAAAAAGAGAAAAATCAATTTCATAAAACAAAATGAGGCAGGGGAACTGCTTTGGATTAAAGGTGACTTGAGAGACATAATTAATTGCATGTTAATCAATCCTTCATTGGGTCCTAGATTAAAAAAAGAAGCTATAAAGAAAAGTTAGGGACAGTTGGGCAAACTTCAGTATGAACTATATATTAAATAATGTACCAATTTCAAATTTCTTGGATGTATATAATGGAATTATAGTTATAGAGGAGAACATACTTGTTCTTAGGAGATGAAAGCTGAAGGAGTGAAGAGTCATAACGGCTGTGGCTTAATCTAAAATATATAGACAGGTGGTGGGGGAGGGGTGGACTGGGAGTTTGGGGTTAATATATGCAAACTAAATACACATAGAATGGATGAACAACAAGGTCTTACTGTATAGCACAGGGAACTATATTCAATGTCTCGGGATAAACCATAATGAAGAATATAAAAAGAATGTATGTGTGCATATATATATTTGTGAGCGTGTATAATTGCGCTTGTACAGTAGAAATTAACACAACCTTGCAAATCAACTATACTTCAATTTTTTTAAAAAAAGAAAAAGCATACAGAGTAAAAGATAAAAATAAATATGGTGAAACAGTAATTGGTAAATTTACATGAAGAGTATTCATTGTGTTATTGTTTCAACTTTTCTATAGACTTAAAATTTTTGAATCAGTTGGAAATGTTTTTAAAAAGAATTTGAGGAAATGAATTGATAACTCCAGGAGTTTTGGTTAAAATAAAGAGAAATGAAAAGTAACTGAAGAGGAAAGTGGAGCTCAGGAGGGTTTTTGTTTTTTCCTCCAAGATGGGGGAAACAGAATGCTTGCTGTTGTGTGTTTTGTATGTTTGTGCTGTTGGGGTTGTGAGGATTATATTAATTAAAATATGTCAACTGCTTGGAACTGTTCCTGGCACATAGTAAATGCTCAATAAATATTCACTGCTAGTTTTATTGTAAAATTGTTATTGTTAACACAGAAAGTCCGAGAGTCTCAATATAAAATTACTGGTTTTAATGAGATCTCAATAAGATGGTAGGTAATAAAATACTCAAAATCAATAGTCATGATAATTTTCAACATATAAAAATATTGAATCACTATGTTATACACCTGAAACTAATCTAATATTGTATGCCAATTTATACTCCAATTTTTAAAAAGTCAACAGAATTTCTACACATTAACAATAATGACTTAAAATTCATAATAAAACTAATTGCTGGTTATAAGATTAACATATACATGTGTAATATGAAAATATACTATCTACAATGTTCACTAAGCTATAACACATCAAAAAATAAACCTAGGAAATGTGTGAGAATTATTTAGAGAAAACCCAAACCTCTGTTGAAGGCCATAAGAAAGATCTGAGTAAATTAAGAAAGATATATCATCCTGAATGGAAAGAATCAATACTGTTAAGATTTTAGTTCTTACCACATGAAACTATACATTAAGACAATCTCAATAAAAATTCTAACAGGATTCTTAATGAAACTACTTATCAATTCTAAAGTTCATTTGGAAGAGACAAAATGTAAGAAGAGCTAAGAAATTTTACAAAAAAAAAGAAAATACTTGCTTTAAGCAAATGTCAGTGTATTACAAACCACAATATTTAAAAAATATTTGCATAAGATAAATAAATAGATAAATGGAACTAAATAAATGGTCAAGGAACAGAACCAAGGAATCCAAGATATGATAAAGATAGTGTTAAAAACTATTGGGTGCGACTTCCCTGGCAGTCTAATGTCTATGACATTATGCTCCCAATTCAGGGTGCCAGAGTTCAATCACTGGTCAGGAACTAGATGCCACATGCTGCAACTGAGACCTGGCACAGCTAAATAAATTACTTAAATAAATAAAAAGAATTTTAAAAAACCCATTGCATAAGGGTGAAACTATTTAATTTTCAAATAGTAAGATAATTGCTCTATTCATGAGGCAGCATTATATTACTATTTCATACCCCCAAAACTAATTTCAGGATGATTAAATGACTAAATATAAACAACAAAATTAATAGAGAACTGAAATGAAACAGTATAGAATGTTTTAATATTCTTCCTCAAAATCTCCATGTCTATAAACCTGTCTCCTAGAAATGCAAAAGCAAGGATAAACATATATTTCACAGTACTGTCTGTAAAACTGAAAAAATTGAACATCCTAAATGTCCATCAGTAGAAGAATGACTAAATAAAATGTTATGGAGTGATATTAAGAAATACTATGTAGCCATTAAAAAAGAATGAAGCAGAGAGACCTATACAAGCTGATGTGGAAAGATTTCCAAGCTATACTGTTAAATCAAATAAAAGCAAACTGTGGACTAAGTATAGCATTTTTCTGTCTAGGAATCTAACAACAAAAATGGTAACAAAACCCCAAATCATTTGTAAATCATGTGTGGATGTACTATATGCACATGCATAGAAAAAATCTGGAAGGATACATACCAAACCGCTAACAGTGGTAGCCTAAGGGGAGCAGAGTTTGTGAAATCTCAGATAATTTGGCAGAGGAGCCACTCACTCACAAGCATGGCCTCAGAACTCACTACTTTGTATAACAACAGCAGTGATTTATTGAGGGCTTGCTATGTGCCAAGCCAAGCACTAGGCTAAACACTGCTTTATCTCAGTTCTCACAAGGACCTCAGGAAGGAGATTGTTCCTACCTCTGTTTTAGAGATGGAAAAACAGGCTCAGAGTATCCCATTCCCGCCCAGCCCTAGTGTCTTGGACACATCCCTGTGTTGTTGCTCCCCTTCTGTTAGGACCCCTCCAGGCTGCCTCCTTTTGTAGTACCCTGTGTCAGGGTTGCTGGCAATTTCAGAAGTTAAGTAGGGCCCTATGCCAGAATTGTGAGAGGGACACAATCTCCTTGAGTCTCTGTATACCGGTCCGAAAATCAGGGACCACTGGTGGAACATGAGGTGATTTCATGTGGCTTATGAGTGAACTTTCTTCTCTTGTTTCGGCCGCGGGGACCTTACTTCCCTGACCAAGGGTCGAACCCGCGCTCCTTGCAGTGGAAGCGCACAGTCTTAACCACTGGACCTCCCAGGAAGTCCCATGAGTGAACATTTAGTTCATATGTATAGTAGATGAACTAGTAAAATGAACATGGTGCATCAAACCTGTGATTTCAGATAGCACTTCTTTAAATTTTGACTGCTTAAAAATTATAAGTAAATAATAATTCAGGTGGTACTGGCCAAAATGACGAAAGTGGCAGGAAAGTAGGGGAATTTATGAGGAAACGCATGAAAAAAAATGCTTACCATAGAGCCAGAACACACACACAATGAGTGCTCAGTTCACAGTAGATTTTATAGATTATCACCATCATATTTGGACTAGAAATAAGCAGTCCTGGTTCCGAGTGTAGGGGACGGAGGCGCAGTGGGGACAGGGGGGTGACTAGGATTTCTGCCGCCGGACTCAAGGCATCCTCAAGGCGTCCTAGGCGCGGGCTTAGCCGGGTGAGGGACTGCTGAGGCCAGACGGCGTTCTGGAGAACTCGGTGGCTCTAACTGGCTCCAGAATGGTCAGCAGATGGCCGCGCATCGGGTCCTCCCTTCATGTCCTGCGCGACTCGCGGCTCTTAGCGCCCGCAGTGGTGCGGGCCAAGGACGAATTCCGGAGGAGCGCTGCAGAGTCTCGGGGATCGGGTGTGGGAAAGGCTGCGGCTGCCAGCCCGCCCTCCGGAGCAGCCGCATCGAGAACCGAGCGCTCAGGCTCCTCCCTGCTCTTCGCCGCCCGCACCCCCTCGACCTCAGGTCGGGAGGCCTGTCCTCCACGCCTTTCTCCTCTTGAGCCCACCTCTTTGCTCCTTGCCACTGTGGTCGCTCTAATAAGGGCTTTTCTTTTTCCGCGCCTTTCTGAAATCGCCTCCTGACCTGAGCTCACTCTTCGAGATCTCTCCCTTCCCACCCACCGTCCAGCGCCAGAGGGACCCGCCTAAAACGCCAAGCTGATCTTTCCAGCCCCATCTCGCTTAACTCCAGGCGGGCTGGCAGCACCACCGCCTTCTCGGTTGTCACCGGAGGCGGCCCCACCAAACCACGCCCCTCGACATCCCGACACGCCCCCGCCGAGACCACGCCCCTCCACGCCAGGATCTCTCCGGGAGCTCGGAATGGGTCGCTCTTGCGGCGATTCCGGGCTTAGCCTCGCACTCCCCGCACGCTCCGCAGGGAGGGACGACCTTGGACGCCCCCTGCCGTCCCTGCCCGAGCCGCAGGCGCCCATGATGAGGCCTGCTTCCCAGTCCCTCAGGCTCACCGGGGGCAGGGCCGGGACTCGCTATCCCCGCAGCTACTCCTGGCCCTCAGATTTGGGGCCCCTTCCCCCGCCCCCGACAAGGGATCGCCTGCCCTCAAGGCTTTCAGCTAAGGGCTCCCCCACCCCCCGCCTGCCCCCGTGACCCTCTCCAGAGCTGAACACGCCACACGTCCCGCCAAGGGGTTACACTTGGCCCTTTGGAAAACAAAGCTGATTTTTAAGTTCTCAGCTGCCTCGGAGTAGGTGGATGAAAACGTAACATTTATGAACGGAGAAACCATTAGCGTGTAAACACTGCGTTTATTCTTGCCGCGGCTCGGGGGGAGCAGTAGTTATCCGTCCCGCCTCGCCCAGAGTTGTCTTCGGAAGCCGCGTCCTTCTGCCGGGTAAAGGTGGGCTTCAGCTGCGAACCCACCTGGAGCTGGACCTGATCAGGAAGCAGGGCTGTCAGAGGAAACCCCAGGACGCCACAGGCTTCCGAAGCACGGTCACTGAGTCCCAGGCTCCCTTGTGACGGAGGAGACTGCGTCCCTGGCTGGTCCCTGACCTGCCAGATTTCCAGTGCTCCGCGTTAAGCTTGATTACCCCGGGCTTCTGTCTTTGATTCAGCCGCCCGGCTGGGAGCTAGGAGAAAGGGTGACCAGGCGGTCTCCAGTCCCGAGAAGGCGAGTCCTTAGAAACACTGAAGCAAGGGGCGGGGGGTGGGAGCGCTCAGCTAGGTTGGTGTTCCTGATGTTCTGGAGGATGAACGGGATTTAAACGGGATCAGGACCAGAGACACCTGGTGAGGCTTTAGGATGGGATTTTATAAACACTGAGAAGCCAGTCACGTGGGGATGTCGCAAAGGGATCAGTTACGAAGTCAGGGCAAGACCTGAGGAGCTGCCACTGGGGAAGAGGGGATCCCAGGTCCTGGGGGAGTCAAGTCTCGGGGACCAACTGTGGAAGGGGATGGAGGAGCTCTCCCAAGAGTGCCTTAAAGGTCCAGCTCAGCTTCTCCCACTGGCCGGGGAGAGGACCCCAGCACCGACACCCCTTGCAGTGCCGTTTGCCCAAGCCTGGGTACCACCCCAGCCAGATGTTTTAACAGAACCATTTCCTCCCTTCTCCCAGACTCGAGCACTTGGCAACCAGTCCAAGAGGAAGAACAGGTTAAAACAGTCCTCAGCCAAGCAGGGGCCATTTTCCTAAGGAAAGGGCACACTCAGAGGTAACAGTGCCACCTCCACTCCTAGGGATTTCCACTAGGTGCCACCAGGGATCTCTTAAGAGCCTCCCTCCCTTCCCTGTGCTGGTTGAGGGGTGGACACAATGTGGAAGGCTCCCATGGTCCACTCTTAGGAAAAGAAGATTTAACCCAAGAGTTCTAGGACCCTGGAACTTAATGTTGAAAATGGTTGACAGACAATTTAAAGGGAGATATTTGGCTTCATGGGGCTTTCCAGATAGCGCTAGTGGTAAAGAACCTGTCTGCCAATGCAAGCTACATAAGAGGTAAGAGACATGGGTTCAATCCCTGGGTTGGGAAGATCCCCTGGAGGAAAGCACGGCAGCTCACTCTAGTCTTCTTGCCTGAAGAATCCCCTGGACAGAGGAGCCTGTTGGGCTGCAGTCCGTAGGGTCGCACAGAGTTGGACATGACTGAAGCAACTTAGCACGCACGCATTTGGATTCATATCCAGAATGAACATGTTTTTGAATATCTTCTTCACCATGTGCCAAGCCCCACACTAAGCTTTCATTCTCATGTCATCACAGCAACCCTGTGAGGAGTAAGTATTGTTTTCTCTGTTATAGAGATGTGGAAACTGAAGCTCAGAGTTATGAGATGACACGCACCAATCACACAACTATGGAGGGGCAGAGTCAGAATTGAAAAGATGGGCCTTGACTTCAATCTTGGTAGAAGGAAAAAAAAATAGATAATTTAGAAATAGATGAAAACTTTGTTAGGTTTTGTGAAGCATATAAGGATAAACGTGGACCCACCCACAGGCTTAGTAAGCAGTATCTTCCATATGCGAATGACCAGCATCCCCCGTCATGGTCTGCGCCCTTCCGGTGGGTTGCCCTGATTCATTTCCACTTTGCAATATTGGGTGGTGCCTCTGTTTTCCCACTGGCTCCCCTGCAGGCTCCACTGGGTGAGCAGAGCAGGAGACTGCCAGCCAGGAGAGAGCAAAGGGCTTCTTCCTGGAGGCTTCCTGGGGGCTTTCCATCTGATTCCGGTTTGGGGGAGCATACCTCCATCTCAGTGATTCAATCCAGCAGCATCAGCTAAACCTAGTCCTCAATTAAACCTTCATCATGTACCTCCTGCTATCTACTGGAGATCCTAGCCCTATTTGGACAATGTCCTCTCCTCAGAAGTTTGGGTTCCAGACCCGTAGGGCCTCCTCCCCACTGAGACACTAGCACCAGCCAAGCAGTTCCCCCTCCTCCGAGGTCTGTGTGTCAGCTCCAGGCCTTTCCTGCGAGTTTGTTTCCATCATTCCAGTCGCATTCATTCTCCCAGCTCTAGAGTAGGGGCTGCTTCCTGCAGTCGCTTCCTTTGTGATACCTTAAAGCTTTCTTTGGGCTCCCCAGTAGCTCTAGTGGTAAAGAACCCAACTGCCAATGCCACAAATGTAACGGACATGGGCTGGGAAGATGCCCTGGGGGAGGACATGGCAATCCACTCCATATTCTTGCCTGGAGAATCCCATGGACCAAGGAGCCCGTGGGCTACAGTCTGTAGGGTCGCACAGAGTCCAACGTGACTGAAGCACCTTAGCACCCACAAAGCTTTCTTTTACTCTTTCACTTACTAGTTAAATTTGTAACTACTTAGTTCTTTAAAAAAAAAATCTTTTAAAAAGTTTTAAAATATTTAATTAATTAATCTATTTAGCTGTGCTGGGTCTTAGTTGTGGCATGTGGGATCGAGTTCCCCCACCAGCGATCAAACCTGGCTCACTGCATTGGGTCTTAGCAGAGTCTTAGCCCCTTGACCACCAAGGAAGTCCCAACAGTTCTTTTTGAAAAAATTTATTTTATTGAAGTATAGTTGATTTACAATGTTAGAGAACAGTTCTTTATCTTAAATTTTCTCTGTGAACTGCTGTGGCTTCTGTCTCCTGGGGCCCTTGATTGGTATAGAAATCGGCACCATGAGTGGAGTGTTAGGTGTGCTAACAGCGAGAGGAGCCACTCTCACCCCGATTCCCAGGCCCAGGGACAGACGGTACCATGCAATGGTCTCTGATTCAGAGCATCCACTGTAGCCTGTAAGACAGAACCCCATCCCTTCAAAGTGATGACTCCCAACAAGCACCATAACTAGCTCATCAGTCAGCCATTCCACCTTTCAGTTAGGTCAGCTGCTTCTCAGTGATAGCGTGTGTGGTTAAACTGGTTAATCCCATGGGCATCTGCCCTTTGCTGCTCTTTGGACGTGAAGTGACTTCTTTGATCCAAAGCAATATTGTGTAGAACAGCAGGACCGTGAGGAAGGCACTACACAAATCTGTGAATGCTGTTGCTTGCAGAACATTATTAGCAGGAAAGGCACATGTGTATCCAGAACATGTATATAGTCCACTGGGGACAAATCTCTGCCTCTTCCAATATGGAAAGAGTCCACTGTAACCCACCTGCCATTAGGTGGCTCGCTGGGTCCCCATGGGTCTATACCGGGGACTCAGTGTGGTCTTTGCTGTGGCTGAGTAGATGGCCAAGTCGGTGACAAGTCCATGTGCAGACTTGGACTCAAACCCGGCCATTATGGCTGCTTGGTTACATGGGCTGATTGAGCAAGCACTGGGGTGTCTGGGAAAAGAGGCTGGCTGACATCTTTAGAATTTGTTTTGTTCACCTGATTGGCAGGACCCTCCTTTGCAGTGAATACCCTTTAGTGAGTAGTCACATGGGGCACAAATATCCTCACATTCCATGCCCATCTGGAGAGATCCAGCCATAGAGTGGGCTGGCCAAAAAGTTTGTTTGGATTTTTTTAAAATATCATATGGAAACCCAAATGAACTTTTTGGCCAACCCAATAACTCTTCCCCAGACCTCGTTGTCACCAACTCGCCAACATATTCTTTCCACACCCTGCCAATGAATAGTATAAACCCATACTTATGGCCATCTCTCAGTCCAGACAAAGTAGGCAAAGTGTCTCTCAGAGTCCTGCCCACTCGGACAAGCTTCTTTCATTGTCCTTCAGGTCCACCCTTGCGTGGGGCTGTAGGGTTATTGCTGTCCCCTTTCTGTTGGCGCCAGCAGATCATACAGAAACTTCTGCAAACCAGGCCTGGACTTTTTGTCTCTTCTCAGCTATTTGATCACAAGGAACTTTCTGTGAAGCCCTAGGATTAAGGTAAGAGAGGCAGGGACTTCCCTGGTAGTCTGGTGGTTTAGAATCCACCAGTGCAAGTGACATGGATTTCATCGCTGATCCAGGAAGATTCGACATGCTGCGGGGCAACTAGGCTGTGGGCCACAATTACTGAGCCTGTGCTCTGCAACAAAAGAAGCCACCACAATGAGAAGCCCACGCACCACAACAGCAGCCTCTGCTCGTGGCAACTAGAGAAAGCCTGTGTGCAGCAACAAAGACCCAGCACTGCCATA